ATATATGATCTTCTCCAGCCATTTCCTGTCCACATGTAGTTGCTCCAACATCAGCTGCACATCATTGCTCAGGACTGGCTTCCTGATACTGACAAAGGTGGACCATGTCTGTATTATGTATGTTGGGTTCAGCAGCTTGTAGTCTCCATCATCATGAGTGCATGTTACAGTGTGGCAATGCATAGGCACAATTGGGAGACCGTTATTACTACATAACAGGACTTGGCAGAACAAGGACCTTATTGTAGGATAACAGAGTATTCTTCAAATGAAAATATAATCAAGAGAAAAGCAGTAAGAATAATACTATTTTAGATATACCACAAAAGTACCATTACTATAAAAAAAGTTTCCACCGTCCAATACGCAAATTAAAAACAGGACAACGTTGTCCATAGCACCGCTCCTTTTCTCAACAAGTAATCCTCAACTACTCTAACTATCCAAAATGCAAGAATAACTTATTCTTCAGTCAGCTAATTGTTAATGTTAATTTTATCTCAATTGTCATATTATTTAACATGCAAGTTGTGCAAATATCTGTAACACCCCCAAGTATTGCTTTATATCTTCACCATGCAGCACTAGGCTATATAGAATTCTCTAATTGTCTTGCACATACAGTGTATCCAAAGAATACCATATAGCCATAGTGTCCTTCCCATTCATGAATGGTTGTGGTACTTCAATTCATCAGTTCATACATCCTTATAAAAAGATACATTTCCATAAAGAAATATAAAGCAGATTGTTAAAGAAATGCAACATTAATGTACATTGCAACAGCTGATATTAGATATGCGTAGACACCCAATTCTTCGAATAGCGTTGTGTGACATCTCACCTTCCATTGGGGGACACTGGAACTGGGCCATAACAGACTAAAACCTCCGAGAGAGACACTGGATCCCTTATATTTTGCACATTCCCGTATTTTGACTTGGAACTGTGTCTTAGTACTTCAATGGCTGTGTTTAAAAGGGACGTTTGAGAAATAGGCTAAAACACATGAAACCTGGGTGTCCATGCCACATATCTTAGATCTGCTGTTACATTGTACGTTACTGCTCTTTTGTTGAGAGAAATATAAACAAGTTTTACTTATTATGATAACTTAGGAGCTAGAAGACAATCCCTGGAATTCATAGTGTGTGTCATAGACACTCATTAGAAATCTGTCTCCCACCTGTGGAACACATGACACAACTTGCAACAGATTCACATAACAGTCGGTAAGGTGTGTATGAACCTGTTGCAGAATTGCCTCAGACAGAATTTTGTCTGCAACACAATACTCGCATATGAGAGATAATTTACTACAACATGGAAGAAGTCTTATTTACCTCCACATTTATTACCGATATGGCGGTATTTCATAATGGGTATATTGCAGCCATAGTGTCGGAAACCAAAAGGGGTGACCATAAGAACTACCTGAATGTGCCACGTGTCGGAAATAGTAAGAAAACGTTTGCACGGTTTTCATGGGTTTTGTGCAGTACTTACTAATACTGCCATAACACCAGACAAATGGAGCAAAATACTTGACTGAATCGCCCCCCGTGTGAGTTAGTGTGGGTTCAGGCAGTGAACAGGGAAACAAATGTCAGTCCTCAGGGGGCCTCTCACTTTTGACTTTAAGCTCCAATAATACTAAATAAGGGGTCAATTAAGATATTCCAGAGGTAAACCTGTAGAATTATAATTTACAGAGGAACTTGACCCACCAATTTAATGTCTCCCAAAACAGTTATTTGTAAAGCATGCCAAATGTCAAGGTTGCCAGTGTACTTAGTTCAGCTCTCAACCAAAGTTTCAAGCTACAAAACAGAGCAGGCGCCACCTCCTAGTGCAGCATGTCTGTTGACCAAATAATGAAATAAAAGAGTAAAAAGGTTCTACTCACTAATCCTAAAGGAATAATCAATAACAGAGTCTGATGGTCCACAAAACACTGTATAGTGGTAGGTGTACCCCAAAAGGGGGGGGGGTGCTAATGCGTTTTGGGGTAACCAACCCCTTCCTCAGAGCAAGACCTGCAAAACTTGCAAGCTATGATCAGCTATGGCTGGTGTCATAGCTGATCACATGTGCAACACCATGGTAACTGCAATCCAAATAGGGGCTAAGATGGCAATCCTTTGCTGTAAAGGATAGGAGGGTGTAGTTCCCCTTTAAGACTAAATATTCTGACTCTTGCACAGGCCAAATTTTGACTTGTTCTCTAAACTATATATTTTTGTAATGCACAAATTGCCTTACAAAGCTCAACTTTGCATGGGAGACTCAGGTGTGGATAGAAATTCTAATTATGGCCACATCTAGCAACATTTTTTGCTCGGGGGTGAAGTTTGCAAAGGGCTCAGCTTGGCGATCATCAGGTGGAAAAATTTTGAGAACTGTTTACATACTGACATTTGCAAACACATACAACAGTTTAAGGCCCCAGTTGAAGTCACTTTAACTGAACAAACAGGGGCTGATGGTTTAAAACAAACTTTAAAAAAAATATCAGATTTCAACTGTTATTTATCCCCTGCAGGTGGGAAATTACATGCTTAACCCCTTCGTGACTGGAGACGTACAGTGTACGTCTTGTCACTTTGTGCCTATATGACTGGCCACGTACACTGTACGTGACGAGTTATATCAGGCTTTGTAATGCCGGTATTTGCTGATTCTCAGCATTTAACAGTCATTCATTAATGTCTCAGTATTGAGGCATTAATTAATGAAATAATTAAGCTTTTTGTAAAAGCTTCTTCCTTTCATTAATGAAAGAATGAAGCCGTTACATGCAAATAGAGGACCGCAATTTGCGATCCCGTATTTGACAGCTCAAAATAGCAGAGAGGCAGCAGTGACTCACCTCACCTCTCTGCTATTTGTTTTGACAGCTCGAGAGCCCGATGTTTGGATACATTTCACCAAAGAGATACAATGTATATCTTTTGAGTGAAATGTATCAGTTCTGATCGTCTAGGCACGATCAAAGAGCTTTTAGTGAGATCTGAATCTGACTAAAGTCAGGATCAGTCTCTAAGGTTATTATTAGCTGTTCCTAAGTTTGGATCAGCCTAATAGCCAAAAATAAAATAAAAAAGTTAATTTATCAAGCTGTCACAGTGATTGCTTGATATAAATTGACAAGAAAAAAAAAGGTTATTTTTTTCATTTTTTTTTTACAAAGTGTAAAAAAATAAAAATAAAGTGTAAAACAAAATAAGGAAAATATAAATTATATATAAATATATTTTTCATACTATAAATAATATAAACAAATTCAAAAAAAAATAATAATAATCAAAACTTGTGAAAAAGGTGTTTTCTTCTAGTTTTTTTCCTCATTTTTTTATTTTATTCAAACTAAGTGAGGGGTTAGGTACACATATGTGATATAATTATATAGCCCTATCTGTCCTCTAAAAAACAATATATAATATGTGTGGGTACATTTAGTAAGAAAATATATTACTGACGTGGAAGAACCACACAGCAAAAATGTAAAAAATGTGTCAGTCATTTATGAACAGAACCTGAAAACTAGCTCAGTCATGACGGGGTTAAGGCCACTTTCACACAGTTAGTCTGATCAGGTCCCTCTGTCAGTTTTTCGAGTGGACCCAACTGGATGCACATTGCTAGTCTGACCGGGTCTCAACAGACGGTTGTCCATTTACACCCAGTTACCCCCGACTGCGGTCATGTCTGGAAAAACAAACTGAACAGTGTTCCGTTTCAATGGACCTGATCGTGCCGGAACAGGGGGTAATCTGCTGTAAACGGACAAACATCCATTTACATCCGATTCCCCATAGACCAACATGGGGTCCTGTCTTTTCAGGTTTTTCATCCATCACAAAATGGAGGTAAAAACTGGAGGGGCACGGATGTCACAGCAGTGACATCTGATCCTTACCTCTCTGATCAGAGAGGGATCCCCTCCTGATTAGCCCATGTGAAAGGAACCTAAGGCCAGATTACCCATAGTTTACCAAAACTGCTCTCTTGGATATTGGTTGTCTTCACATATAGCAATCTTCACTGTGCATGTGGGTACATGTTTAGTGTGGATGGGGAATCAACAAATTTCGAATCATTTATGGCCAACCTAACTCCCTCAGATCTGTTGCTAGGACTATCTGTGGTGGTCAAACTTAATCCATAGACATCCCAATCACTGCTTAATCTCAACTGGAGTGATGATCATCTATATAGATATCTTAAAAACTAACATGAAATGTAAAAACATAAAACATAGATAAATATGTAGCTAATAGGAAGCTGTCGTTTCTATGACATTTCAAATCTTAAACTAAATGAAAGAAACAAATCATTAGTGGTAAAAAATGACCAGTCTCATCTTCCTCAGTTTATACAACGGACTGTAAATGTCATAATGTCAAGAGATATGTGAAAGATTACAGTTTAGCATTAGAACTAATCTCTGCTTTATTATCAGCTCATATCTTGTTCTAACTAATCTCTGCCTTATTATCAGTACATATCGTGGTCTAACACTTTCTCAGCCCCAATGCCACAGTCTGTTACAGTAGGAAAAGTGTAATGTCACAAGCAGAAGATTATCATTTCAAGGCAAGAAAAGTGGCGGAACCTCATGACTTGTGATGGAAAACATTCTTATTTTTCTACGTGTTCTTAAATACAAAGGTTATGCTGATTGAAGGACATGCGAAGCACTGACTGTGCCAAGCCAGGATACCAACTAAAGTGTTGACAGAAGAAAGTTTTGTCATTAAATACTCACCGCTGCAATGTCTGGAACCCCTGCTCCTTGTACAGTAGTTCCTGCTTCATTTGTGACAGCTCCCTCTTCAACTTTTTAACCTAGTGGAAAAACAAAGTTGCAATCTTAAGCATACATTAAGTTGGCAAACTACAATGAACTTAAACTAAAAGACCAGCCAAAACCTTTTCCCTAGCTTTGGATATAGTGGGGGAGGGTTTGTAAGACAAAGTACAAGAAATCCAAAAATGTACAGTTGTCACCAAACAAGAATAGAGGGATGTCTTTAATGGGGTCACTTCCTTTGGTGATAACTGTTGGGATGATCACATTACGCTAACAAAATTTAAAAAAAGTATTAGCTGGAGTTACACTTTAGGCACGTTAGTAGTTTTATAGGCTAACACACGCACATATACACACACACATACACACAGAGACACAGAGAATGATGTATCCATTCTTTGCCAGAATTGTCCATTGACATAGATCCTTCTGCATTTGGAGCACAAATTAAGAACTGGAGGAAACGTACCCTGACTTTTGTTGTGGAGATCTCTGCCTTAAGGATATCAGGGTCATACTTGGTACTTGAGGATGAACCTGAAAATACTGAACAAGATAAAATAACATAGATTAATGCTGAACTCCAGACAAAAGAGTTTCATTTGAAAAGGAATTAGCTCAGCTGAGGAAAAGGTGTCCTGGATTAACATTTTTGGTTTGCCAGTGTCCTAACCTCCTGTAGGTGGCAACAAAACCTGCATGTCCAAGAATTATTGCAATCCTGTGCCCTTCCTGTGGAGGTTAAATAAATATTGTATTCTGATAACTGTATGCAAAATACATAATACAAACTACAATACTGCCAGAAGTGTTAAAGGACCACTTCATATAGTAAATTTTAGCACTACATGCATTAGATGCATACAGTTAGCAGGATAACACATTTTTGCATTATATGTGTGCTTTAAAAAGGAGCAACACACGTTCCCCATCCTCACATCCCTTCTCTAGATTAACAGCAGAACACAGAGCAATATTTACATCTGAGCACTAAATCCGTCCATGCTGATGTATCACTGCATACAGTGCAATTATACCAGCATGGATCGCTTGCCACACCAGATTTTACCTACAGTGCTGCTGCAATGAAAATGTGATTACCGCAGGTCCCAGCCTAGGGCGAGGAATAGTATAGAAAAGAGACACCCCTCCGGGCTGCTGAGCAGAGAGCTATGAATCTGCCTTTACAATTTATTTTTGTTTGTTTGAAGCAGAAACTGCTTTTTATTCATGCTAAATCCTAAAAAGTACATTTTTGTTTTATTAAAACAGAAAATGAAAAGCACATTATTAAAACAGAAAATGAAAAAGCAATAACGGTGGAGGTAGATGATGTGGTAAACACATTCATTTTGGATAGAGTAAGGGTGGGCTATAACCCCTGCCAGCTTTCTTGCCATCTGTGTCCAATTAGCGAGATCACTCTCCGATACAGAAGCAGGAGAGAAGCTGATGAAGCAGATCTCTTCTTCATCAGCTTCTCTGGGGGTCCGTAGGCGACATCAGGGGTCTTGGAGAGCCCCGATCTCTCCATAAAGAGAACCTGTCATGTGAATTGGCTATCACATAGGGCATTTCTCAGCCCCCTATGTGATAGCAATAAAGTTAAGTGTAAAAAAAAAAAAAGTTTTAAAAAAATTAAAAGCATAAAAAAAATAGTCACAAATAAAAAAATATTTAAAATAACAAAACCATTTTTTTTAAAGTCCCCCTCCCCCCCACATACACACACAAACATGCATCGTGTGCCTCAACGTGTGAAAACGACGATTCCGGCAATTGTGGCGCACGTTACATATCGTCGCGAACGTTGCAGTGAGAGCAATAATTTGAACTCCATTAATCACTGATAACACTAAACTGCGTCGCCTATGGCCAATTTTGGGTGTGGCTTGTTTTCTGCGATTTTGCGGGCGCGTGCAATTTTAAGGCTCGACATGTTTGGTGTCTATTTACCCGACATGACCCCAGCTTTTATATTTTACCAAAAAATTGGGGTGATAATAAATGTTCCATAACATTTAAAAGGGAAACAGTTTTTTCCCCACAATTTAGTGTATTTTTTTGTTATATAGTAAAAAAGAAAAACCCCAGTGGTGATTAAATACCACCAAAAAATGGTATAAAATTCATTTCAGTACAGCGCTGCATGACGGAATAAACGTCAGTCAAAGTACCGCAGCGCTGAATACTGAAAAATGGCCTGGGCAGGAAGGGGGTTTAACACCCCAGTCTTCAAGTGGTTAATAATGGCAATAGATAACCCGTTATATATACAAATCATAAACATAACACTGCATGGCTGTTTATTAACCATTATAATAGTCACACCTAGGTGTTTGTAATATCTAACTCGTGACATTCATCAGAAATTAGTTGTCATCAGGTTAATGTAGTCACACTAAGGCCCCATTCACATTACACACATTCTTTATGATTACATAGCATTTGAGGTTGAACAAAGACATTAGTCCATCAAGTCCAACCTATTAGGATCTCATTCTAGGAGTACCTGTACCCCTGTATATTGCGGTCCCTTAAGAAATTGTCCAAAAGTTTCTTGAACAATTCCACATTATTTGCTGAAATCACCGCCTGTGGCAGTGAGTTCCAGACCCTAACCGCTCTAACTGTAAAAGAACCCCCTTCGCCCCTTGTGCTGGAATTTTTTTTCCACCAATTTTAGGTGGTGGCCTCTAGTTTTTGTAATGGAGTTAATTTTAAACAGTTTATCGCTAATGTTGCTACCACCATTGAACATTTTGTACATGGAGATCACATCCCCCCTTAATCTCCTCACCTCCAATGTGAACATGTTTAAATTTAGTAGCCTTGTCTCGTAGCTCTGGTCCGCCATACCCTTTATTAGTTTGGTTGCCCTCCGCTGGACTTTTTCCAACTCAAGGACATCTTTTCTTAGTGCTGGTAATGGCAGCCAAATGCAGCAAGGAAGATGTGCATTTTGTTGCGGTCAAAAACGAAGCCTGAAAAGCTTCATAAACTCATTTTCTGCACGTCGGGCAGCCCCTTCGGGCTGCCTTATGTGGACAAACTAAAATGCTACACACATTTACATTAATTCAAGCGTGAATGTGAGCTGAGGGCCTATTTACACTGTTGTGTTCTGAAGCACTAAAACACCGTGTCATTGTACCCCAACGTGTCAACAACCCCCCCCCCCCCCCCCCCCCCTACATCTCTTCG